AAATGAATTTTCAGCCGGGCCTTATAGATCGTGGACTAATTGTGACTCCTCTAGCTGTCTAAATGCGTTTGTTTTAGCAAACGTGAAATATGTCCTTAAAAGACAAAAGGTGAAGTGAAAGTTGATTGGAAAAATAAGCATCCTTTTCCAGATGTGGAAAATTCTGGCCAAGAAAGTACAAATCCACCACGGTTTTTTTTCAACCAGTCGGTTTAGTATAAAGAGTCACAGTCACAGAGTACCCTACTGGTTGGTTGAAACAAAATCTTGGTCTGGATTTATACTTTTTGGACGCGAACTTTCCAGCTCTGTCCTTGTCATATTTGTGTTTCATTCTGAAATCTCTTTTATGTCTGGGAGGGGTTCTCATTTGGAAGTTATAATCAAATACAAAGGACAGATGTTGGCAAAATGAGCTTTCTTCTGAAACAGCTGTTTTGAACAAATGATGGCGGGGGAGGAATTTTGCAGGCGATTACGCTGCGGCTACAGCGTTGAAAGGATTTGCGAACGACCGGCGTGGCCCGGGGCAGCGGGGCTCCGTGTCACATGAAAGCGGCGGGAGGAAGGAGCCGCTAACCCTTTAGATTTAGCAAAGGCGCTCCTCTACATGTCTGCGTGGCGAGCACCTGCGCGCAATAGATCCAATTTAGCTAATTACCGTCGGAAAGCGGTCAGTCCTATGCATCCCGCCAGACGTAATTTCAGAACTTGGGTGCCAGCAGCGGAAGAAAGGTGAACGAAAAGAAAATGTTCAAGTGGGAACTGAATAAATGCTTCGGAACTGAGCAAGAGCGTGTGACGCTGAAACTCCCGCGGACGAAGAGCAATGTGCACCTCTTTATGCGGGACTGGCCGTGTTACGGCTGTGTTGTCATTTATGGGGTGACGTCTTCAGCTGATTCAAATTCCCGTTCATGCTTAGCAATGACCAGACCAAGCTGCTTTAGAGATCACCTGATTTTGACATCATCCCCCCTCCCTCATCGCCCACACGGAACTTCTGTGCGCTATAATAGCTGCTTTTAGATAATTCTAAATGGGAGCATTTCAATGCATCAGACATCGATACTGTCTCCCCGCTCTATTGTCTGCTGTTGTCAAATTGGATTTCGAATCCAATTATCAAGCAACATAATTGGCTACAGAATAACCTGTCTTAAGCATTCATACAGAAAAATACACAGTAATGTGCGATTCAATTTGGAGCTTTTTCACAAGTATGGGAATGGATGACATGTTCGAGAAGAAAAAGGCATTTAATCAGACGGATAACAATCTGCCTTCATCCCGCTTTCCCATTAGAGAAGTTTGATCTCGCTTTTGGCAGAAGTTGCCAAAACAACATGTGGTCCGGACCAGACGCGACAGTTTTGATGCGAAGGTCTGAGAATGTGGAACGTTCTCATCGTCACTACAGATCCTAGTTTCAGCCGGATTGATTTTCGCATGCTTTCGAAATGCCCCGGCCAATGTGATCTGTCAGCCCGACATGCTGTCACCGCGGAGAGACGTGACTGGGTCTCTGACTCCCTGCGGGTTAGACACTGTCAGGGAAACCTGAGAACCAGGCAGACACCTAATGGGACGTCCGTCTGTTGGGTCTGAAGCAGACCCATTAGTGACTAACGACTATTGAACACAACAGGTAACCTACTGGTCACGGCTGTGGACCTCTGATCTCAGCGTTGCTCTTCTAAGCATCATGTAGGTGCTGTAATACTCTTAAACATTTTTCTGGGAGTTCTGCCCCTACTGTAAAATAACTAATAAATTGCAAGTAATTCTGAGTAGAAGAGTCTCCTCAATATCTTATTAAATGCTTGTTATCTTGCAATGTCAGTGTAATAACATGTCTTGTAATGAGAAATATTAGCAAGTGGAGGTCAGGGGTCAATCACGGTGGCCATCTTTTTCACTGCTTGGGTGCATGTGTCTCCGTGGGGGGGAGGAGGGTGCTGGTGACATCGCTATCCCTCTAAATCTTCCTGGGTCCATCTGTTGGACCATCCATTCTCTCTACCTATGGTGTTCAGGGAGCCCCAGAGGGAATCTGTAGCAAGGGTAATTATAAAACACACACAGGCATACCAGCCTTCAGACCCACACAGAAAACACACCTGACTCACACTCACACACAAGTCAGGCGTGTAGAAACAACAATAGAGAACTTTGTTTTTGGTTAACTTTTTTTCCTTATGTTTTACAGAGCAAAAGCATCATAGGTTCACAGAGTCACAGGTAAAACACAAATTATTCATAACTTTTCCACCGTAAATACAGGGACGCTGCGTGGAAATAACGGCCATACCCGATGTCATCGTTCTTTATTTTTCAGTCACGTTACAGAATATATGTTTTGATTTGGTAAATATTGACGTTTGCACCTCTTCCTGTGTTTATTGTAGCACTGTAGTTACCGAAGGACTAACAAGATATCGATTTGGAGAGACGAGAACCGTCAGAGAGTGCTTATGGCATTTTCGGTACTGAAGCACCACATTTCGACGAATATTATAACGATTGATTACCTTGTGTGAAAAAAAAAACACACAACCCAGGGGGTCCTTGGGAGTGGGGGGGACCTCAACCAGAATCCACAATCTGTGTCAATTTGTAGGCGGAGCTGAGTGAGTGAGTGTGAGGCGGTGTCGCACCGGGCCACGTTTACACATCCGCTGGGCTCCGCTCTCTCTCTTGCGTTGGCACGGCGACGTGCGAGCAGCTGGTGTCGAACAAACCGCTCATCCGACGCGGGACAGACTGGAATCGGTGCTGTCTTCCAGGTCGGCTTTGATTCCTTTGGAGCGCTGGGGTGGTGTTGGGGGTGGGGTATGGGGGGGGGGTAAGCATGGTGGCTGCTGGCTCACAGAGGCCCATCAAACATGGGACATCAATTATTAATGGCCCACGTTCGCCGCGGTAACTTGGAGCGCCGGAAGCCGAGTTACATTTAGATCAGGGCAGCTGAGCAGAATTACATCAGACACAGAGACAGCCGCGGGAGAAGGTGCGTTCCGGAATCTTTTTAAGGGAAGCCCAGCCTGCTAGTTCTGGGAGGAAAAAAAAAAAAGAGACAGGAAATTGATCTTTTCAAATATGTCGGCCCTCTCCCCCTCCACAACAAACCCGGTGCATGCTGGGTAATAACAGTGAGAGGCATCTGTTCGTAGAGAGGAGGACCAACTCTGATGTCTTCCTGTCTTCCTGACAGGACGGAACATCAATACGGCACTGGTATGCATTTTTGGGAGAACAAGTGCGGAGTGAATGTCACTAACTATCTGTGGCCTTTTTTTGTTTCACCGACGTGCTGCAGATTTGCAATGTTTGCACTTCTTCTGGAAGGGTCAGAGTAGAAATTTAATATTTGGAATTTTTGATGGGTGGTTGGGGAGTGATCTAGAGTAAAATCATTTTTAAAAATTATTCTTATTTTAGACAAAACTCCCATTGAAATGCTTATGAACATGATGCACTTAAAGTATTCGTACCCTATGGAGTAGGGGGCTGAGACAGGAACAAGTTCGGAACAAACCCAGAATCCCAAATGTGGAATCGAGGCCCAGGGGACTGATTTAATGAAAAACTCCACTAAAATCTTTAAAGAAAAAAAATCACCTGCTAGCAAAGACAGGCATAGCGGGAGATGAATAATTATGAAAAATTATGTCTGATTGTCTGTACAATTGTAATGAGGGGATGATTCATTTCTGCCTAAAATACAAAACTGCTAAAAAAATATCCATACAGACAGCATTAGCGATTTATATACAGTGGTTCATGGGTGTACTTGAGTTATCAGCATTGAAACAGACCTTTCATGTTCCGTTTTACAAATGGACGCGTGCCCGTTAAACAGCTTAAAGTCTTACACTGCAACTCCAGGATAAAAGCCATTGAAATGACTCAAATTTATTTCATAAAGTGCTTAGAGGAGTCACCTCGCTCGTCGGTCATATGTGTCCCTCAAAGCGGAGGACTTGGCAGATCGTCACGTCCCCACACCAGGTGACAAGCGGCCGTAGAATGACCCTCCACCCCCTCACCTCACCTCTTCCCCCTTTTCTCTCTCTCATAAATCATGCCCTTTAGCTATCTCTGAAACCTTTAGACTTTCACTTCACTTTCTCAGCTGAAAAAGGGAGAAAAGCTAAACAGGAGGATGGGAGTGTTGTGTGGATGGTGAAATTTTAGCAGGTTTCAGGACTGGAAATTGAAAACTTCATCCCATAGCAATGTTTCTAATTCCCTGTAGCGTGGAGTTAATTGTTCATCTCCTCATCTCCTTTAATTCCCATTCTTCTAATTTTGTTTTTTTAACGTAAGCTTATGTTCAAGCCCACTTGATTGCCCGTTTGGATAAGTGGAACACTGTGTACAGTTTGTATTTGTGGAGGCTGACTCTTAAATGATCGTTGAAAATATGCTGTAATGTAACTAATTTTGTACGAGTTCTAGTTTGTTGTGTGAGGACAGTGTGGAGGAGTTTTAATCTGGTCGTGTGTAGTGGAACAAATGGTTGTGAAAATCTCTCCTTGTCACCTGCAGCATTGAGGAACATCATTTCAATTGACTTGATTAGTAGGAACTCAATGAAGACAGTGACCCGACCCCCTATGATGTAACATCACTGGGCCCCAACTGACCGATCCATTCTCAACTCCCACTACAATACCACCTCTCTTGGGTCACCTGTTGGCACAGATGAGTGTGCAGATGAACTTCCTGCTTCCTTATCGTGTCGGATTGGTTAAGGTGCATCGCAAGGTTTCTCCCAAACCTGATGCGCATATCCAGTCTCCGGTGCCAGCTTGCGTCTGTCTTTTGTCTCTGTGGTTTTTACGAAAGCGAACCCAAAACCCAACATAACGCTAGAGGCTAATTGTCACACTCTAGCTAGTGTTACACAGCCACACAGTGGTTTGTGGCTCAGTGAACATATTCCCAAGACAGCTTTGTGAGCAGGAGGCAGAACAGTGAAAAAACACACACATATATATAGATATATACACGTATTTCCATCCATTCTTCCATTCATCACAGTAGGTAAAAATGCTGGATTTACAGAGCTCCAGTGTAAACAACATGGCTGACTATACATGAGGGAAGCCACGTGACATGAAGGTTCGCTAACACGGGTACACTGCAGACACGTCTAATGACCCACAGGAGTTTGAAACAGAATTCACGTTCCATGGGTAAGTACACACGATAGTTTACCAGAGGTCTGACTCTATGGCTCCACCTGCTCCCGGAAGAACTCCATGCTGGGGTGTAACATGCCGCGTGGGTGGGTTGCATCTTTTTACTGTAGGGGGGGTATCCACAAACTCCCCGCTCGCACCCCTCGTCCATTTCTGCACCTTGAGAATTGCATGTGAATAGTCCCAACTCAAGGCAAAAAGAAAAAAAAAAAACACAGCAAAATGTCATATAATTTTCTGGTAAAATTCTAAAAAAAGGCAAATAAAAATAAAAGAAGAGTGAATTGAATCGGAAAAGAGACGAGGGATGCATATGGAAGTTTCTTTATCTCCGAGTGGCAACTGCAAAACAGTGCTTTATTTTTCCGGCGGAAATCTCCCTCGTCCTTATCTCAGGGACTCTGAGAATTGGAACCGTGAAAACAGAGAACTGTTATTTATTCATTTGGAAAGTCTCTAGGCAAGGTTTGCGTGCCGAACGTTCGCGGTTTGATTCTGCCCACTCCGGCGAGTCAAACCAGAAGTCTTCTTTCTGGGAAAATGAGATGTATCGACAATTCACAAACACTTTTGTGCTTAGATATTCAAGAGAGATAGACTCTTTTACAAGGTACAATGGAGAGGTTTGAGAGCTGGAATAAATACAGACAGACCATAATACTGAGTGATTTCATCTCACTAGACATTATCTCTCGATTGTCATACTTTTAGGATTCAGTGAAACCATGATATTCTGCTGCAGAGAGCAACAAGGTTTTTCTTTTTGTTTGACAAACCAACCTACTCCACCGTTGGGTTAGCCATTTGAATTGTGTTGATTATCTGTCACAGAATCACATTGTCATGGAATGTAAGCATTTATGTGGTCCGTCGCCACACCAAAGATGGCCTCATCAAGTGCGCTGCAGCAGAAAAATATTTGAAGATGCCCGAATTATGAACTCAATGGCTCCAAACCCACAGGCACACACAGGCTTAAGAACTGTGCTTGGGTATGGGTCCCACTGTCCAGCCTACAGGAATTTCTTCCTGGTCTTATGGCCCTCTGGCGCCCCCTGCTGTCCTGGGGTGGAGGTGGGGGCTACACGTGGGTCTGCATGCGTTTCTGCAGTGGCCGCGTGAGATCAGAGTTCTGGGAGGAGGACTGCGAGTAGTGTGAGGATGAGGAGGCTGAGGTCTTGCTATCCTTGTCAAACTGCACGTAGCTGTCCTGCTTGCAGTAACTGCTGATGCCGCTGTCACACTGCGTGTCCAGAAAGGAACTGGAGTCGCTGAGTGAGCCCCTCTGAAATTCCCGCTCGCACAGCTCGATGGAGCTGCTTCCCACACCCAGGACGAACCGTTGGCTGTAATCATAGAGACGGTTGGGGCCGGCACCCAATGTGGAGTAGATGTTAGTGAAGGACATTCCAGTGGGTACCCTCTGTTTTCCCGTGGTGGCACTGTTGACGTTCCGCATCTCAGTGGTCTGGTTCCCTGCCAGGGTTATGGTGGGGGTAGAGTGGTGCTCCTTGAAGGTGTTTACGCTGTAGTAGCCATTCGTCGGGTCCTATCCGGGGAGGAAGAAGAGAGTCTGTGAATTTGAGGGTTTTAGGATAGCTACTGCAGAGTTAACCTGAGTCAATTTCATAGTTTCTGAAGCACGAAACACAACAGGTAACAAGGGATGAAGGATAAAAGTTGTCTCGTTAAAATATGCAGGACTTTAGAAGAAAGTTTTGCAATTTACTGCTAAATAAGAGCAAATAAAGAAGAGCTGATATTCAGCGAGCCTTCGCTGCATATAAAATTAGATTCCCAGGCAAAGCTCGACAAGTCTACAGAGCAGAAAATCTGAGAAATATAGCCGCAGAAAAAGAAAAACACAATTCCTTATTTCCTATGCATTTATTCTCTACAAAACTGAGGGGCCACCTTGGGGTCAAACTGGCATTAATTAACACCTGAAATGGAAAGCGACTCAAGCAGCAAGATGCAACAAGCACTACACACAAAAAAAAAGTGGACCAGACGTGGTGCCGAGGTGCGAGGCACCAGCGAGGCTGCATGCGGGACGGCCACCAGCTAATTAATTACCTTAACGATTTGCTATGTGGCAGCGGCTGCGTAGTCCGCGCCTTCCCTGAGAAGTTAGCTGGACACTTTGCGTCCAGCTCCGTCACAAATTAATCCGCAAATAAATTAATTAATTTCTCCTTCTCATTACTGCTGGTTGACCTGTTTCACTTGGTGTCAGACTTTAGAGGAAGCATCTCCAGTCCGTCAGACACTCTCTCCCTCAGTTCACAGGAAAATACCATTCTGATTACTGAGGCATTGATGCATCAAGAATAAAAAAAAATCTTTTTCTCTGTGCCTGAATAATAATAATAATAATAATAATAATAATAATAATAATAATAATAATAATAATAAAATCATCCAGGCACTATGCTGTGCTGTTCACAGTGAGTAATGGATTTCAACAGTATTGTCATTTTTTCCACTCTTTTAAATAATAAATGGATATACCTGGGGATTTGTGGTCTTGCAGTTAAGTAGACCCAATATTGTGCCTTTGCAGTGGTCTCTCACTCATCCTAGAATATGTCTCTCACAGTGTGGAGGTTTTTAATCTTAAAATAGATGGGAATACAGCTCTACAAACTCTGAGTGATGTCAACGTCTGACCTGAATATGAAACAATGGGACTTTAAATAAAGAACCCCTCCCCCCTTTCATTTCCCTTTTTACACCCCCAGTAACTCAAAACCTGAGAATCTGCCTCTTTCTCGATGCGACCACCAAACCGCACCACTTTTGAATTAAAATACTAGCACTAATTACGAAGACACTATGTATCTAATTATCCAGAAGAGCTTTTTTCCCTTTTAGTTGTTTCACCACTGTTTATTTCTAGCTTGCAGGAAAACATCTCCAATGTCTGTTATCCTGTATAAAAATTAAGCTCCGTGAATATAGATGCAGACTAAAAGTGCAACATGGTTCGCATGCTTTTCAGCTCTGCTACAGCTCTATTTTTGCCATTAAAAATACGATACCACTTGCTTCTTCCAAACAATGTGCTCTAGTTAGAAAAATCTATCCTAAATTACAAACATCCGCTAAATGTCATATTAATGAATTCCTTAAATAACATCTATCCATCCAGTCCATGCATCCATGTCTGATATATTCAGTATTCAGGTCGAAGAGGGTTCTGTAGCCAATTCTAGGAATCACAAGGGGACACTCTGGATGGGATACTGTTCCCCAAAATGCCACAGTTTTTTACTATTTTGGTTCTGTTGGCTCTTAGTGTTTTATTTAGATTATGCTATTGCAAACAAAGCCACCAACTTTTTGCATTCCAGTCACCTGACCTTGTCTCTCCTCTAGCTGTGATTCTTCCTCTTCCCTTTATGCAGAGATGGCTACAGTAATATTATCAGAGATTCATCGTCTTTTCATTTGGTTTAAGTGGTTTTTCCATTGCAATTGATCAGCATGAGTATGGGGAAAAAAAGCAATTATGTCAGTGAAAGTGAAATTATTGGTTTTGGTTGAATAGATTGACTCAGAAAATTAAAACCTTATATTTAATTGCAGACATGGCAAATCTTCATTACAAATGAGCAACAGTAACGCTGCATTATTGAAACGTGACTAAGGATTGTTACCATAAACGATACGGTTTTCTACCGGGTGAGAATCGGCTTTAATCGTCACCTGAATTGGTCTTGTTAGACATAATAAAAAAAAAAAATCCTATGAAAAAACATGAGATTGGGTTAATTGTTGTTTCTGAGATTTAAGGCGAGTCTGTTTGCATACTGGATGTGGAATACAGCACATCCTGTTTTGACCATGTCATTATTGTTATGCAATCAGAAAATGAGAAAATATGTACAAAAATGCATTTCCCTTCTGACCTGTTGACAGACAACCATGCTCTCTCTCTCTCTCTCTCTCTCTCTCTCTCTATATATATATATATATATATATATATATATATATATATATATATATATATATATATATACACACACACAGACACATAATTCATATTCAGTTATTGTATAACTGCATATCCAAGATATAAACAGAGAAACAGGAAGATTGACACAATGTGAGTTAGGAGCCCTGCAGGCCCAAACCTGCATAATTGCGACGTACAGGCGGGTTATGAGCAAGCGACCCCTCTCACCCCACGGCCCCCGCACTCCCTGCTACCCACCTTGATGTGCTGGTACTCCTTCTCCTCCTCTGGTAGCACCTCCAGCTGTTTCAGCACCGACTCCTGCTGGAACTCTCCGCGTTCGATCTGTGCCGGGGGTAAGATGGCAGCGTTGCTGGGTTACGGGGCCTCAGCTGTTGTTGTTTCACTTTGTGTCAGTGTAATTTCAGCTTTTTGCAGATAAACGGGAAATGCTTCCCGACGCCCTGGAAAATAGGACGCCGCTAGAGGTGACTGCTTTTTATTTGTGACCTGCTTTAGGAGGATGTGGATGATAAAAATGTATGTTTTCCTCATAAAGTCTTATATGTCTAATCTTTGATACTAAAACGTGAACTCAGACTCAGCAGAAGTATTACAAAGGGCTTTAGGTTAAATATTCCATCACCGGGCAGCCTCCGAAATGTCATACGGCTGTAGCAGCGGTAGCGATTTGGGACAGAGCGCCAACGCTGCAGCTGCGGCTGGGCCCAGAGTCGCTTCTCTCCGGGAAAATGCGACGGCTCCCTGCCTAAATATAGGTTTGGCCATGCCATCTTCCACAAATCAGGCCCTGCGGATGCAATCGCACCCATGTCCTGAGGCAACAGCTGTTATTATTAGCCCCACGGATGGGACGATTATCGGTAGTTATTTGCAGTTGGGAATAGGGGTGGGTAGCCTGAAACGGGGTGGCAGGGGGGTGGCAGCGATCGTCAGGGTGCGGAGGCATGGCTGGTGCTCGCTCACCATTAGCTGCTTGATAGTGGCGTGCTCCTCATTCTCCCGGGCTGTGTTGTGCTCCTTGTGAACGATCTCCACACGGATGTCGTTCTTAGCTGATACCACTCCCTTAAGATCTGGCAGAGAGACGCCGTCGATTAAAACCATGGGCAAACGCGCCGGCATTGTATTACACTTCAACCATGCAGCCTCGGTACAGCGACGCTCCGGGTCCCCTCGCCAGGAAGGGGGCGCCGAGCGTCCGTTAACCAATCAGTGCGGGGCGAGAAGACCCGGCTCTGCCTTCTCTCGAGAGAAAGGACATTCACAGGCAATTCCACTGTCCCGGTGGCTCATTGGCAAATGTGTTTATGACTGTCATATAACAAAATCTTACTTTCTGTATTATTTTTGCTGGCATGTTCTCTCTGGTGAGCACAGATGGAGACGGGCACAGAGGACATAACCAGGTGAGCGTCTTCTGTGGTGTACAACAACAACATGCTGAACGCCAGTATGGATCCACGCACGCCAGAGACATTAAACGACTGCAGCAGCTATCTTTCCTAACCTGAAGCCCGGTACGGACACCGGAAGTATCTGAGAGGACAGGTAGGCTTATCTGAGACAAGGAGAGAGGCTACATCAATGAAAAGCAACTCGAGTGTGCCAAAAGCCTATTGTCTATCTGACCTCAGTTCAGTGCCGCGGTTTAGCAATGGCACGCTGGAAGAGGGTGGAAGGAAGACACCTACTGCGCTGGGAACGGGTACAGCAGAATGCCCCAATGGTGCCCAGAAGGACGATGAAGGCGACAAACGCTCCCACAGCCACGCCAATGATGACAGCCACCGGAATGGATTCTGCGGACAGAGGGGGAAAAAAACGTTCACACTGAAGCCGCCTGTAGCTCCCCACAACCCGAATGGTAGCACTAAGAAACCAAACGTCATATAAAAAATACAACGTCCATCCTAGCCCTGCAATTTACACAAGTGCATAAATATTCTGTAATGATCAGATATGCTTGACATAACAGACAATTTACGCCTGGTGCAGAGTACCCCAATGTTATTTACGTTGTCTGCTTAAAATGAATGCAATGCCATAAAGTATTTCTTCAAACACTTAATGTCTATTTAATGTCTTCATTAATCACTGCCCTATTGAAGTAAGTCAGCCATATATTTTCATTTGTGGAAAATTAATTGAAGGGAGACCAGTTCTCACACACAGATGAAGTATATCAGGGCTGTCACATGTCTAACAGAAAAGGCATTGAGCATGTTTCACACAGTCTCTAAGAAAAGGTTAAATCATGGCATGTTCCTAGAATAAAGCCCATAATCTTGATGAAGAATAATCAGGTAGCTTTTAAAGAGGAATTTTACCGAAATTAGATCATTCTGTATTCGCGTTATGATTTTTGTGGTAGACATGTACTCTGAATAGTAATTATTAGATTTTAATTAATAATATAATTAACTTTTTTCTGCTGTCTTTCTGATTTATGACCTATTTACTGTACAATCTCACTGAACTGAAAGTATTTCAAAAAGGATGCGTTGAAAATAGGAGTATAACAGAGTATCAGCTTAAAGTGTAGTAATGGACATATAACAAGGCTTTAATTCAAGGCTTCAGTCTGATTGATTTACACTTGGACGGCGATCAGGGGTATCGCTAGAGATTTTAAGCGACATGAAAGCACATCATATCGGGATCCCAACCCAGATCAAGCCCTTGTTACTCATGGGCTTCTGGAATCATTCCAACCCCCCCCCCCCCATGCTTTACGGTGTCCAGCCAGTGATTTACAATATTAATAGTGCAGTTACCCAGAAACCAAATTAATTTAAATCTGTTCATTGCAGAAATACCGGTCTTCCAAGCCCTCACAGAAGAAGTCCATCCCCAAGTCTTGAGCCAATGGGCCGGCCAGACACGCTTGGGAGAAGCAGGGCTGTCGAACCTTGGCTCGCACCTTGTTCCTTGAGGCGGATGATCTCCGTGTCTGAGCCGAAGCTGTTCCAGGCTGTGCAGTTGTAGATGGTCTGGAAGTCGGCGGGCACGATGTTGCTCATGGTGAGGGTGGAGATCACACCCTCCTCCGTGTTCACCGTCTCCACCGTGTAGCGGCCCGACGTGCCAGACTCCAAGACCGTCTCCTTCCAGGACCAAGCCTAGCACAGGACTCACCTTCACCAACACTGGCGCTGCTCATGAACCTTCTGTTCTCGTCATTTAACTATGCTCCTCACTCAACACGACTTATGGTGCGTTATTTAAACATTGACTTAAACTCAACACGCTAACACAGGGGTTTCTGCTCTTCTGCACATAATGCCTTGAATTACTTTTTACTGCAAATGTACTATATGGGGTGATTTTATTATGATTATAGAAGTTAATTATATATATATATACATACATATATATATATATATATATATATATATATATATATATATATATACATACACACACACACATGCACAACCATACATTTAAAAATCATCAAACAGAAGTAAAATAATGCATAAATTAGGCAGTTCCCAAATGTCAAATTAAAAATGGTTTTAATTAGGAATTAAGAAAAGCCCTCAATTATTACACACAATATAAAGAATTTAATGAGCTTGGTGGAATAGCAACTGTCTGACGTCTGCAGTATGGCTAGCAGGAGGAGAAAGAGGATTAAAGTGATAGTGAAGCGTGCGTCATCCATCTAAGGATCGGGAATATTAATGAGATATTCGGCAGTAAAAAAAAAGTGTGTCATAAACAGGAAATGAGAGCTGTCAAGCAGACTTGTGCTATCGGAGTAGGAAGGCCGGAGAATAAGATGTTCAGATGCGTTCATTTGTTTGTTTGTTTGCTTTTCAACTGTCTCAGTCACTGGAACACAATTATCATTTTATAAGTTTGTTGGCCAAAACAGAAAACCGCTGCAAACATGGAAAACCAGCAAAAACTCTGAAATTCAAACTTGATGAAAATTGTTACGTTTTACCCAGCTCTGATAATTTCATGGCAAATTACAGACCGAATCACAGACCTCAGGGGAGTTTGGTCATTTGTCAAGTTCCTGAGGAATCAGCACCTGTTTTCCACTAGTGTTCTCAAGCTTTGTTGATGCTGCAATAACTGTCCTGTTTCCGAATAAAAGGTAAAGGTTTTCGCTCATGTGAGAAAGTGGGGGGGGGGGGGGGGGG